GCCTCCTTTGTTTCCCTCCCTGCTAGGCCCTCGCTGACTTGTTCGGTCATCCGAACAACGCCCCTGGGTTCGTTCTCAAGCCGCGCATTGACACCGATCCGGCGACTGGGCAGAGGTGCTATACCACGCCAGAGACAGGCACCTGGTGGCACAGTGCTCAGGTACATTGCATTGGCCGAGGCTAGGTTCCCTGCCGCTTCTGCCTTCCCACCCCTTGCCGCTGTAAGTCTCGGCTCCTCTAACGCCCTGTCTGTTATTACCACAACTTATTTGCAGGCCCACGTCGGCGATGGCGCGGTAGTTGCTGCCATCATTCTCTACAGTGACGTCACCCATCTCAGTGAGAATGGGCGCAAGAAGGCGTGGCCCGTGATGATGACCATCGCCAACATCCGTCAGGGCGGGCGCTGGGCGACGTCGGGGCACTGCCTGCTGGGCAATCTCCCAATCCCACCCAAGGGGATGCCTTCAGCGCAGAAAACTCAACTCTTTCAGCAGGGGGCTCTCACCATGCTGCATACGATTTTGGAGGGTCGTGAGTGGTAAGAGCGTTAGCAAGAAGTGCGTGGCTGTGACCATCCTGCTGCCTAACGCAATCCTTCTCCCCCCACCGCGCCCCCCACCCCCCCACCACCCTCGGATCTCTCGATTGAACGTCTCTCACATCTTTCCCCTAGTTTTGTGCATGCACCTTCTAGCTGAGCTCACTGTTTCTGCACTGCCCCCTCCTCCAATTGACTTGCCACCCCAGCGGATTCTTGCTAAAAGACCCGAACGGCGTGGAGCACCTTGTCAAGCCAATGCTCTACGCGTGGGTCTGCGACTACCCAGAGAGCGGGAAAGTCACGTGCACCCTCTCCGGCGGCACAAGTCGACCGTGCAGCATCTGCTATGCCGAGAAGGTGTGTGCACCGCTTCACCCTATTACTTCTTACCCTTTTATCTCTCTCCCTGCTACCTCAAACCTTGTTACCGCTTACCCAGTCACCACCCACCCTGCTACCTATGACGCGGTTACCTCCTACTCTGTTACCTATAACCCGGGTACGTCTAACCCAGTTACCTCTAACTTGGTTACCTCTTACCCGCTTACGTCTTACCCGGTTACCTCTACCATGCCTCAGGAACACCTTGACTGCGTGACGGCCGAGAACACTCCTCGGACCCCGGCCCGACAGCAGTGGATTGTTGACAATTGGGCGAACAAGCTGGGCACCAAGAAAGCTGCTGGAGTTCAGTTCTCCACGTTCGGCATGGAGGTTAGTGCCTCTTCACCCCCCTAATCTCCGTGATGCTTGCTGTGGTACCTTTCTGTCCCCATCCGGTTGCAATCACCCTATCCGAGCTAGACACCAAGCCCCCCGGCAACGCCTTTCTGGCCCCCACAGCCGTTACCCTCCCTAATTAAACTTTGATCTGGTATGTTGAACCCTGTCGGCTACCCTACTTTGATGCAGTGCGCCCTCTGGCTGTGGGATGTGCCTGGTGCGCCCTGGGCGAACCCTTACCTGGCCATCATGCCGGACATAATGCACCAGGCGGACCTCGGGATCTTGCACCACATGATTTCCGCAATCCGCTCCTCCCACAAAGGCAGTCTCGCCACCTTTGACGAGTAAGGGTCACACTCATATCTCGTACCATGCCACTTGCTCCACCACTACTGTGAATGCCTTTTGCCTTTCCGCATCCATCCCTCCTTTGCCCATCCTCCATCCATCCCAACCCCGTCCGCGTCCATCCCTCCCTTGCCCATGCACCATCCATCCTCTGTTCCGTCTCTTCACCTTGCTGCATCACTCCGTCTCTTCACCTTGCTGCATCACTCCGTCTCTTCACCTTGCTGCATCACTCCGTCCTTTCACCTTGCTGCATCACTCCGTCCCTAAACCCTGCTGCATCACTCTGTCCCTTCACCTTGCTGCATCACTCCGTCTCTTCACCTTGCTGCATCACTCCGTCTCTTCACCTTGCTGCATCACTCCATCCCTTCACCTTGCTGCATCACTCCGTCCTTTCACCTTGCTGCATCACTCCATCCCTTCCCCTTGCTGCATCACTCCGTCCCTTCGCCTTGCTGCATCACTCCATCTCTTCGCCTTGCTGCATCACTCCGTCCCTTCACCTTGCTGCATCACTCCGTCTCTTCACCTTGCTGCATCACTCCGTCTCTTCACCTTGCTGCATCACTCCGTCTTTTCACCTTGCTGCATCACTCCATCCCTTCCCCTTGCTGCATCACTCCGTCCCTTCGCCTTGCTGCATCACTCCATCTCTTCGCCTTGCTGCATCACTCCGTCTCTTCGCCTTGCTGCATCACTCCGTCTCTTCCCCTTGCTGCATCACTCCGTCCCTTCGCCTTGCTGCATCAATCCATCTCTTCGCCTTGCTGCATCACTCCGTCCCTTCACCTTGCTGCATCACTCCGTCTCTTCACCTTGCTGCATCACTCCGTCTCTTCACCTTGCTGCATCACTCCGTCCCTTCCCCTTGCTGCATCACTCCGTCCCTTCGCCTTGCTGCATCACTCCGTCCCTTCACCTTGCTGCATCACTCCGTCTCTTCACCTTGCTGCATCACTCCGTCTCTTCACCTTCCTGCATCACTCCGTCCCTTCACCTTGCTGCATCACCCCGTCTCTTCCCCTTGCTGCATCACTCGCTGCATCACTCCGTCTCTTCACCTTGCTGCATCACTCCGTCTCTTCACCTTGCTGCATCACTCCGTCTCTTCACCTTGCTGCATCACTCCGTCCCTTCCCCTTGCTGCATCACTCCGTCCCTTCGCCTTGTTGCATCACTCCATCTCTTCGCCTTGCTGCATCACTCCGTCTCTTCCCCTTGCTGCATCACTCCATCTCTTCGCCTTGCTGCATCACTCTGTCTCTTCGCCTTGCTGCATCACTCCGTCTCTTCGCCTTGCTGCATCACTCCGTCTCTTCACCTTCCTGCATCACTCCGTCTCTTCACCTTGCTGCATCATTCCGTCTCTTCACCTTGCTGCATCACTCCGTCTCTTCACCTTGCTGCATCACTCCGTCTCTTCACCTTGCTGCATCGGCCTCCCCTAGACTGCACCTGTGCTCCACACCTCTCCCTTCCAGCCTGCCCCTCTGGCTCTCCTCCCTTGCTCCTGTCTGCTTCCCTTGCACACCTCACCTACACCATTCCCTTGCTACACAACCCCCTTCCCTTGTGCACCTCTGTTTCCCCTCCCTTGCTCAGCTACCCCCGACAGCTCGAATGGCTGGCTCCCCTTGCTTGCTGCTACCCACTTCCATTTCGCACCTCTGTTTCCCCCTCCCTTTGCTGCATTCCCCCTCCCCCTGTGCTCGTCTATTGATCCCTCCCTTGCTCCATTCTCCCCTTCCTATTTTCACCTCTGGTTCTGCCATTTTGCTGTCCCTCCACCCACACACCCCTTCCCTTCTGCAGGAGGCTCACACAGATCCGTGAGGAGACTCGAATGACGAACCTACGTTTCCCTGAGACTGCCTATTTCGAGTCTGGCGCATGTGTCGCCGCCCACGAGCACCGCGCTGTCTTGATGGTACGTGTTTTGTCAATACAGCTATTGAATGCTTCAGAGATATGTGCTTTAGGTACCTTCTAGAAAACTGCACCTATACTAACCCAACCCCACCTAACTAGGTGCTACTTTTCATCGTGGCAGACACGTTGGAGGAGAAGCGGCTGAGCGCGATCCGCGCGTACCTTGAGTGGTACATCTTCTGCGCTCAGCCATGCCACACCGAGAGGAGCCTGTCGACTCTAGAGGAGTTGACGCATAGGTAATTTTAACTGCAATGAACAAATGCTTGAACATAAAGCTTGATTATCTTATAAATACTTGTGGCTATCAAGATTTACACATGTGAGAATTCTATATACACGCTCTAGGTATTTTGCAAAAAAAAAACAAATGCCACACAAACCCACCCCAACAGGCTGGTCAAGCAGCTGCAGGATGCTTTTCCAGAGCAAAAGTCAGATTGGTGTTTAATCAAAACGCACCTGATGACTCACTATGCGGCAGCTATCAGGAGAGCAGGTAATGTATCAGAGTTCGCAACCGCCATGTTTGAGCATCTGCATGGCCCGTTGCTCAAACGGATCTACCGACGATCCAACAAGCGCAATGTTGAGACTCAGATAATGAAGCATCATGAGAAGAGGGCAGCCTACCTCACGCTTGACACGCCCGAACACGCACGCAACACTGCAATGCAGCAGGTAAATGACTCTTATGAGCGCATGTGCCAAGTTTCCCCCCTGTTGTTTCACTATTTTATTGACAACTATATGCTATACATGCAGGCCATTACCAAGGGAGTGCCTGTCCTCACGAAGGACTCCTATCCTGTCCTTGTCGCGCCTCCATCCGAGCCAACAAAAATGAACAAGTTCAACACAGGGTGGGCTAAGCAGCAACCTGAGGCGCACATCTACTTCAACATGGCGCTAATTGACTATGGAGTGAGCGCCACGAAGGTGCAGGTGAGTCATGAACACCAAATGTGTTGTCATGTACACCCTAGACCACCCTATCCTTACTCATCCATCGTCTTGCGCAGGCCCATCCGACAATGGCACTTCCTGCAGATGGTGGAGTTAACTCCTCCAAGCTCGCCCACTTTGTCCGGGCTACACCTGACTGCTACAAGCGACCATGGTTCTCAAATGTGGCAGTATCGTGCGTTGGTAATGTGGTGGAGTACGCCAAGGTGTTGCTCCTGTTCCACTGCAAGAGACGCTGCGTACGGCATGACCTTGCGTACGTGCGGTACTACAGGACGCGTGGCGTGGATGCAGCCACAGGGTGTGTGAGGCTGAGCTGGCCAGCACCAGAGCTTTCATATAGCGTGGTTCCGATTTCGTCAATATTGCGTCACGTCCAGATCGTGAGGATGTTTGACAAGAATGAGCCAGACGTGTTTTTGCACAATAAGTATATTGTTTAACAGTACAGCACAACCAAGTTTTGTATAAATTTGTATATACACATAGGACTAAAATAGTGAATTTGAAGTCCAATAATGCATTTTGTGATATAACGGGTTGAAAACTATCCGAAATCGGCCTGTAATGCACCTGCGAAATTGCGCAGGCGAATCGCCGTCAAATTGCAGGGTGGAAATTTTCCGATTGAAACTGAGGGGTTGGCTGCCTGACAAGTGGCCTCAACAACCCGCGAGCACACAAAAAAAAAGGGGGGAACTTTGCGATACAACAAGAGGAATCCCAACCTTAAGAACCGCGTGATTGCTTCTTTGAAGAACGCTAACGGCGTGGCCGTCGCACCTCCTTCTTGGTCCCCCGGCTCTGCTCTTACCGGCTCCCCGCCCGCGGCTGACGGGTCGTGGGCGGCTGTGGATTTCATCTGGAAGGCCGGAGCTAAGACCCCGCCCATGGTGTCGATGGAGTACGCGTTCATCCGCAAGTCGCTGACGGGTGTGACCGGCGGGAAGATCGCCAAGGCGTTCATGCAGTACATGATCGGCTCGTTCGCTAAGGGCGGGTATGGGTTCTCAGCCACCCCGACTGCCTGGAAGAGCAAGTCCATTACCATGGTGAATGCCATTGCTGCGGATAAGTAGGTGCAGAGTAATGTGATGCTAGTAGCAGCTGTCGTTGGTGGATATCTGGGTTAGCAGCTGTCGTTGAATGTGATGTTTGGAAGGAAAAGTCATTCTAGGGTCTTGTCAGCCTTCTATACACAATTACCTGCCTTCAAACTATAGTCTCCCCGTTGCCATTGATCGTGAGTGACGGCTTCGCAAGGATGTCTTTGGGCTGCGATGAAGAGGACAAGTACAGCGTGCTGCAGTTGCTGATGTCGCCGATCCCTGAGCCAGGTCCACGGCTTCCAAAACAAGGCTGGCATAGGGGAGAGCATAAACATGAGCGAGTGGTCTGTCGTCGCAATGTTTCCTCTGTCGCATTCATCTGTCGCATCGCACGTTTGGCCACTATATGTCGTCACACGGGTCGTTCCAGCTGGCGCTTCATAGTGCGTGGGTGCATGCAATGTGCGCTTTGTCCTCTACGCCGCATGTGGAGGAGCTCAGTGTGTGCAGCAGCACCTCTCGTCATTTGCTAACGACGTGACAAACAACTGGTTTTGCCTGGCAGGCGCCGCAACGCAAATGCTGGTGCACTGTTGAGTGGCAGTGTTGCCACCGCGTGGTTTGGTTTCGAAGGGAATCTGGGGAAATGGCATCTTCAGATGCGCCAAGGCGCCTCGACCGATATCTGGCTGAAGTCCCGCATTAGTCAGGTTTCATCACAGTAAGTACTCTCGCACTGTGCTTTAGACGAAATTCTCAAAGAAATGGGAAATATGGTAATGCATTACAATTCTCAACTTTGCATTTGGTTCTCTATCGGCTGGTGATTTGAAATCAAATTGCATCATGTTCCTTCGTTTGGAAATTGAATGGTCCTCAACAACATTGCCGAGTTTTTTTGGAAGTGATACTGGATACATTTGGTGGATGTACTGTTCACGTTGTTAACGTAGAAACGAATGATTACTAGAGGTGGAAACCTAGAACAAATACTAGTTGGTTGTACTCACTAGAAGCATACCTCAGTCTAGCCTATAACTTCTACATAGATAATATGTATAAGTTGACACACGCCCTAGGCTAGACAAGGGGTGAAACTAAACAAGAAGCAAACAGCTCAGGGTGGCACTACTAGTCCAACCACTGAGGCAGGGGTCTGGAGACCAGTCAGCAAGAATACAACCAAAACTGAAGCAAGCCAGGGTGGCACTACTAGTCCAGCCACTGGAGGTAAGGCCACAAGGCCAGTCTGACAAGCATATATAATAGAGAGTACACAATCAGGATCCTAACAGGGGAGCAGCTATAGGAACAAGACCAAGCTGTACACAGTGCCGCTGATGATCTTTAGGCGCAAGCGCCTTAGTAAAGATATCAGCTGTGTTGGCACCTGAGGCCAAGTGAACTACGCGGGCCTGGCGGCGCTGCTGTAGCTCGCGCAGGAGGAAGTACCGCAGCTGGATATGCTTCGCTCTGCCCTCAAGCCGAGGCTCCTGACACAGGAGTATCATGGCCCTGTTGTCAGCGTACAGGACCGGGGCAGAGCTAGGCCGCTCACCTAAGTCTGTGAGCAAGAAGGTCAGCCAGCGGAGCTCCTGTGCCGCCATGGCACCAGCGTAGATCTCAGCCTCACAGCTAGACTGAGCCACAGACGACGAGCGAGTGGATCTCCAAGAGATAGCACCCGAACCAAGGCTGAAACAGTAGCCCTGCGACGACCTGAGCGTCTCAGCGTCGTCTGCCCAAGAAGCGTCTGTGTGCCCAGTAAGGACCACTGGCCTGCGTCCTCCTAGCACTAACCCCATGCCTGATGTACTAGCAAGATAACGCAAAACCCTCTTAGCGGCAGACCAGTGCTGAGGTCGGTGTCTGCCTGTAGCCACAAAGCGAGCCAGGATGCTGAGAGGGTATGCGAGATCTGGGCGAGTGCAAGTCATCAGGTACATGAGGCAACCCACCAGCTCTACGTAGGGGCCACTGGGCTCTACTGGCTCCTCAGGAACGGGAGTGGAGAGCCCATGGTCTACGGGTAGAGGTGTGGGCTGTGCGGAGGAGAACTGAAGACCGAACCTCTGAAGGACCTGACGCACCAAGTGTGACTGGGTCAGAGTGATGGTGCGTGCTGCTCTGTCCCTAGAGATCTGCAGGCCAAGATAGCGACGCAGCTCTCCAAGGTCAGTGCAGGTGTGTCTCTTCAGCAGCTCAGCCTTCACAGAGGCCAGTGCGTCCCTGTCAGGAGTAGCGAAGACCAGGTCGTCTACGTAGACAAGGATGTAGAACGGAGTCTGGCTGGAACGCACAAACAGTGAAGGGTCAGCAGAGGACGGAAAGAACTGCAGGTCTGCTAACGTGGCACGTAGCGTGTCGTGCCACTCGCGGGGAGCCTGACGCAGGCCGTAGACCGGGCGCCTGAGAAGCCACTGGGTCCCAGGAGGGAAGGTACCAGTGAAGCCCTGTGGTCGGCGCAGGTAGACCTGCTCGTGTAGGCTGCCCTGAAGAAAGGCAGTAGAGAAGTCGAGGGAGTGAAGCTCGTAGTCACGCTGTGCTGCTACGTGTAGCAGCGCCCGAAGAGTGGTCATCTTCGGGGTCGGGGCGAAGGTCTGAAGGAAGTCAACCCCCTCGCGCTGACTGAAACCTCTGGCCACGTAGCGCGCCTTGAAGACAGGCGGCTCTCCAGGGGGGCGCTTCACCTTGAAGAGCCACCGACCATCGACTACGTTCACCCCAGGCGGGGGAACTGCGTCGACGTAAGTGCCGGTGGATCTCCAAGATGCCATCTCCTGCTCCATGGCAGCTATCCACTGAGAGGCCCAAGGTCCCGAGGTGGCCTCAGCATAGGTGCGAGGGGTCGGGATGTCGAAGGCGTCTGGGTCACCCTCAGGGACTAACAGCATGGAGCAGAGATGGGGAGCAGCCTCGGAAAGGAAAGCCAGCTCGTACTGCCTGTCCTCTAGGACGTCACTGCCAAGGGCAGGAGCACCCCCGACGGACAGAGGACGGGCAGGGTCAGAGACCAGAGCGGTAGCGTAGTCAAGGCGGCGGGTAGAAGCGAAGTCAGCGACAGCAGCGACAAGCGCGTCAAGGCGCGAGACAGGAACAGCAGGGTCGGTAACAAGAGAGGCAAGGACCCGAGGGACAAGGGGACGAGCAGCACGGAGGTAGTCAGAGAACGGAGGAGGTGCAACAGCAAGGGACGAGGGAGGAGGGGACGGGAGGAGGGGAGGACGAGACGAGTGGGAACGGAGCAACATAGGGTGGGTGGGCAGGACAGGAGAGACGGGACGAGCACGGGAGGGACGGCGAGCCCAAACGTGAGACGGAGGGGTAGGGTCAGGGGACAGCGGAGGAGACACAGGAGGGGAACGAGGAGGAAGACGGGCCGGAGACGAGTCTGGCGGCGGGAACACAGGACCGTAGACAGGGAGGTCAGGAGGCGGTGGGGGAGACACCGGCGCGCGGTCCGGGGAGGGAAGGCCGAGCAGGCGGAGAGCGGAAACCGGCGGCGACGGCTGCTGCGGCGGCGACGACGGCTGGGCCGGAACTCTCGGACCAGCAGAGGCAGAACGACCGTCGGCAGAACACTCAACAGCAGCACCCCAGAACCAACACCCCCAGAGCGAGAACCCCCTCCAACACCAGCGGCACCCCCAGAAGCCGCAGGACGAACACCCTCCTCCACACCAGCACCCCAGGGGCCGAGAGCAGCGGCGGCAGTGGCGGCAACGGCTGCGGCGGCGGCGACAGCGGCGACGGCTGCGGCAGCGACAGCGGCGGCGGCGGCGACGACAGCGGCGACGGCTGCGGCGGCGACGACGACGGCGGCGGCAGCGGGGTCGGCGACTGCGACAGTGGGGGCGGAGGCACCGGGGAAGGGGGACACGGCAAGGACGGACCGGGGGTACCACCAGAGTCAGCAGACTCCTCAACGGGGACAACCGACGGGAGGGGAGTGACGTGGGAGACACCAGACGGGGCAGGACGAGGCGGGAGAGGGGCAGGGGCTACCGGGGGAGAGGGAGCAAGGAAAAGGGGGGGGCAACTGGGAGACCTCGGTGAGGGAAGCGGCGGTAGAAGGAGACGGACTCATCAAAGGTGACGTCACGAGAGTGAAGGAAGCGGTGAGACGGCGGGTGGTAGAAAAGCCAGTCAGACGAGTCCAGGGGGAAACCGAGGAAGACACAGGGGACAGTGCGGGCAGTGAGCTTGTCCGTGCCAGAGGCACGAACGTGAGCAAGGCAGCCCCAGACGTGGAACGCAGACGCGTCACCGGGGGACCCGGTCCAAAGGAGGGTCGGCGAAACCTGCGGCCGCTGGGAGCGTGGCCACAGGTTAAGCTGGTGAGCCGCGTAGCGAACAGCGAACGGCCACAGAAAATGGGGGGCATCGCCATGGATCATGGAGGTACGGCGACCTCCATGACCAAGCCGATGCGGCGCTCAGCAACCCCATTCTGCTGTGGCGAGTCCGGCAACGTGTACGACTGGGTGATGCCCTCCGCACGACAGAACTGTCCAAGCCGACCAGAGGCGAACTCGCCGCCACGGTCGGAGTGGAGACACAACACGGGGAGACCGCGGTGGAGACGCGCAGCCACAACCCACGGGAGAAGAACGTCGGGCACGTCGGCCTTCCGCTCCAGGGG